TTTGTTGGCAGTCTCCCATCCAAGTACTAACCAGGGCTGACCCTGCTTCATTTCCAAGATGAGACAGGATTTGGTGCTTTCAGGGTATTTAGACTCCCCCCTCACAGCTCTTAGAGCTAGATAATTCTGCCTTTCTTTTTCCTTTTTTAAAGATGAAGAACCAGGCTTGAGATGCTAGGGACATGATTAGAGATCTTTTAATATTAGGAGGCAAAGAAATATTTTAATAAATAAACATTGCCTGATGCCAGAGAGCCCCTCACAATGGGAAGGCCAAAATCCCAGTCTTCCATATCTGTCCAGTGCACTCTGCTGCTAGGCCTTGTGTCTGCTCCAACTCAACCAAGATATTCACTATCCAGGAGTTTCCAACTGAAAGACCAGAAAGAGAGCTTGATAACACATCACTCTGTATGGTTTCCTTCCAATGTTGGAAGGCTGCTCCCAGGCTCTGAAACTCCCTTCCCTAAGAGCTCAGCTTGCCTTCCTCCCCATGTTCTGCACAGTCTGTATTTGCTACTTCCTAATTGCTTTTAAATCTATTTAAATTTGCTTTTGATTCTATAACCTGTTTAATTATATTTCAACTTTTGAGAGTTTTTAGGGATGTGAACTTTTTTAAACCTGTGTCTGTCTTAACTTTTGCAAACTTGAGTCAGAGGACTACGGTAAAACCAGGTAATAAATCAATACTTATTACTGGCGCCAGCATTTTTTTTTTTTCTTTTCAGCCCCAAGTCAAAACACAACTTTTTATTAAAGTCTTTGGGGATCAGTTTATTTCGAAGTGTATGTGTACATGATTTTAAATTGTTATAGCTTTAATGGGTGTTTTTAAAGTTGTCTTGCATGGCAGGGGGTTTAACTAAATGACTTGTGGTCTCTTCCAATGCTAAGATTCTATTATTCTAACTGTTACCTTGTTTAGTATGTTTTTAATCTTGCTTGAATTACCTATGGTTTTAATCTGGAAGTGTTTTAAAATGTGCCTATTACTGACTGCCCTGACAGCTCACAATAAAGTTGTTTGTGGTTGTTGCTGTTGTTGTTGTGTGCCTTCAAATCATTTCCGACATATGATGGCCCTGAGGTGAACCTATCATGGGTTTTTCTTGGCAAGATTTGTTGAAAGGAGGTTTACCATTACCTTCTCCTGAGGCTGAGAGCATGCAGTGGGTTTGCATGGCCAAGCTGAGAATCAAGTCCAGGTCTCCAGAGTTGGAGTCCAATACTCAAAACACTACACCATGTTGACTCTACAATAAAGGCCAGTATATAAATATATTAATAACTAGATTACAATGGTGCAGCTCAAATGCTGAAGGGAGAATGGCAGCTGTTCTTCACTGGGAAAGATGGCTGGACAGGAAGGAAGGCAGTGCTCCTCGACTGCAGATTTCATAAGGAAGGCAGGACTCTGTTGCCGAGAGCACCTGCCCTCTGCTGCCAATGCTTCTGCCCATATGCTTTGCAATTACAGAAGCATTTCTATGGCACGTCTCTTGCCCGGGCAGAGAACCCAAAAGCAAGGGACAGTTGGGAGCAGAATCTGTCATTCAATCTGTCAGCTTGATTAAAATGGGAGGAAGCAGATTGCACCATGCGGTACAGGACTTTGCTTCTGTGCTTCAAACCTCTTCCTAACTGGAAGAAAGCCCTCTTGGAAATCTTCTCTTGCCTCTCTGTCTCCAAAAATCGGGTGCCTGCTCCCGGAACCATGCAAATTACAGGCATTTGCATTTATCCAATTATTATGCATTGCTCCTCTAATTTTGGAAGGAGGGTGGTTGCTTTTTTAAAAGTATATACCTAATGCAAGGGTACTAAGGAGAGCTGTGAAGATGAGAATTAGATTGTTAATGCTAGTTTAATAATGTAAATCCCATCCTTTTCATGGAACTAGGACTCAGATGCGTGAAAGATGTATTAATATGCTTCTGGGATCCTTGAGATTTGAAGTAAAAGTAAAAACAATGGTTTTTAGAAAAAGGGGGAAGAAAATTTGGTTATGTCAACTCTGACTTATGGCAACCCTATCATAGGGTTTTCTTGACAAGATTTCTTCAGAAGAGGTTTGCCCTTGGTTCCTCTAGGGCTGAGAGAGTGTGACTTGGCCAAGGTCACTCACTAATCCAGTTCCTTTAAAACTGGTGGCATATGGTTTTTATCAGATGCTCCTGTCCACAATCTAACTGCTACACATGCACTCAGCCATCTTCAAGGGAAGTTCCACACAGAACAAACTGCAGTAATCTAACCAGAAAGTTAAATTCTATTGCCTGGCTTTCTCAAATTTCCTCCTATGATTATCATTTGCTTTTGCCTCTTTATTCTACCCATTATTTCATTTCTGATTTGAGTATTTCTTTTAGATACCCACATGGCTCTATTTACAGTAGATTTTGCCTGCCTGCTTTGCACATAAAAGCATGTAATCATACAGTAACAGAAGAGAATTTAGCCTTTCAGAAGATATGATGCCCCAGAGAGCAAAGATGGGCCACAGAGCTCATTGTTTAATTTATATCCTGCCCTTATCCAAACAAGGGGGGGCGGAATTTTAAAAATATTTAGAATACATGCCAATAAAAATTAAAATGCAGCAGACACAAACCATTAAAGGTCCTTTTGTATGACCCATTAATCATCAAATTCCTGTTTAAATGAAAAGGTATTTACCTGCAAGAGATGGGGCAACTTAGCCTCCATGTCATAAGACCAGCCACCAAGAAGGCCCTTTCCTATATCCTCGCTAGACGAGCCGGATAAGACAGTGGGCCAAATAATTTATAACAAGGATGGGCAATTACAGTGACTACCAATTAACTACCCCTGGAACCTTGCAAGGGCTGCATGGATTGCTAAATATATCCAAAAAAAGGAGGAAGTCTACCTCTGCTGATTCTGAAAAATGAAATGGGATATATATATATATATATATATATATATATTAAAAAAGTTAAACAATAAGGGGAATCTGCAACCTTTTAACGGGCAAATTTCTACTTTGAGAAGTTTCCAGGAGATGCATTTCACTCACTCTCTCTCTCTCTCTGGCCAGGATAAATGCACTCCAGGGAGTCTGGAGGGTTTCAATGGCCACAAAAAAAAAAAACTTTAGGGGCCACATTTTTCTCACCATTCTGTACTGTTGGCCCTCCGTATCCACAGATTCTGCATTTACAGATTTAACCATCCCTGAGCTTGAAAATACCGCCCTCAAAAAAAAAAATTCCAAAACTTTTATATAAGAGACACCAATTTACAATGTCATCATATCTAATGGGACTTGCACATCCATGGATTTTGGTATCCATGAGGCATTCTGGAACCAAACCCCAGTGGATCCCAGTGGCCCACTGTACAGTCAGCCCTCCATGGATTTTTTTATCCATAGATTCAAGTATCCACAGCTTTAAAACGATAGATAGATAGATAGATAGATAGATAGATAGATAGATAGATAGATAGATAGATAGATAGTAGCAGTTTGAAAGCATGCAAATGCAAGTAGATAAATAGGAAGGTAAATAGCGTCCTGTGCAATCATGCTGGCCACAGGATCACAGAGTAGTCTCTGATAACGCTGGCTCTTCGGCTTAGTAACGGAGAGGAGCACCAACTTGACAACCTTGTCAATGGGGAATTACCTTTATCTTTATATATAAATTGCAAAAAGGAAACCTTGATTTTGCCATTTTATATAAGGGACACAGACATGAAACACCTACTAAGGAAGATCAAAGAAGAAAGTGCAAAGGGAGGCTTAATGTTGAACATAAAGAAAACAAAAATAATGACCACCGAGAACCTTCACAAGTTCAACCTAGACAATGAAGAAACAGAAATAGTAAAAGAATTCCCATACCTGGGATCAAACATTCATAGAAATGGGGACTGCCGTCAGGAAATCAGAAGAAGACTAAGAATGGGGAAGGTGGCTATGATAGAATTAAAAAAGATCCTAAAATGCAAAGATATACAACTCAGCACAAAAGTCAGAATCATACAAAGCATTGTATTCCCTATTACCATGGATGGATGTGAGAACTGGACAGTTAAGAAAGATGATAGGAAGAAAAGCAATTCATTTACAATAATGTGGTGCTGGAGAAGAGTGCTGAGGATCCCATGGACAGCCAAAAGGACAAACAAATGGGTCCCAGAGCAGAACAAATCAGAAACCTCCCTGGAAGCCAAGATGACCAAACTGAGACTGTTGTACTTTGGACACATCATGAGAAGAGAGGACTCACTGGAAAAGACAATAATGCTGGGGAAGGTGGAGGGAAGTAGGAAGAGAGGAAGGCCACATGCCAGATGGAGGGATTCTCTTAAGGAGGTTATGGGGATTAAGGGGTTGCAGGAATTAAGCAGAGCAGTGGAGGACAGGGAGTCTTGGAGATGTCTCATCCATAAGGTCGCCATGAGTCAAGATTGACTTGAGGGCAGTTAACACCAACAAATAAGGGACACCATCTCACTCTGCCATTGTATTTAATGGGACTTGGGCATCCACATGGATTTTGGTGTCCACAGGGGATCTTGGAACCAAACCCCAGTGGACAGAAGAGCCCACTGTGTATGAGCTGAGGGGAGTATATTACAAAATCTGGATGAGTATTTTATTAACTAAGAGCCAGTGCAGTGTAGTGGTTTGAGTGTTGGACTGCAACTCTGGAGGCCAGGATTCAAATCCCAGCTCAGCCATGTAAACCCACTGGGTGGCTGGGTAAGTCACCATTCTCTCAGCCTCAGAGGATGACAACGGTAAACCTCCTCTGAAGAAACTTGCCAAGAAAACCCCATGATAGGTTTAGCTCAGGGTTGCCATAAGTCAAAAACAACTTGAAGGCACGCAGTAAAAACCACCAACACTTTATTAACTGATTTGACTGGACTGTTTTATTTAAGATGGAGCCTCACTGTAAAGATGTCTCATGCTTCACCTTACTGTAACCAACACACACAAGGCGAAAATCTGTATTATGCTCTGCAACGTAATCTCCTGCCCTGAGGTGCTTCCAGTCTAGACTGCAGCAGCAATGGAAGCAAGACAGAGAGGAGTGTCTCAAAGGCAACCGAAGCCATTTGCAAACAGGCACCATTTGCATTGCTTAAGCTTCATTTCTGTGGTGGATTTCCAGCACCACCACCTGCCTTGACTCCTTGGGGTCTGTGGGAAGGTGAAAATCAACTCAGCCAAACTCAGCATTGCATCCAGAATGCGCCAAAGCTGGCACGCAATGGCTCATAGTGCGCCATCAGCTCTGCAGACAGCAGTCCCGAGTGCTTCCAAGCAAAGACTTGTTTTCCTCTTCAGCCATTCACTTGCCAATGGATTCAAAAGCGAGAAAGCTCTTCCAACCCGGCAGAACTCAGACCATGGTGCCAGTTCCAGCATTTGTTGTCCACAGATTGGAGCGCCTGCCTCAGTCGAGAATACACAGAGATCCCTCCAGCCTTCTGACAAGCCTGACAAGCTGAAGGGTGATTTTTCTTTCCCTGGAAACCTCACGCCTCTATTTCAGCTCGGTATGCCAACGCGAACTCTACAATTAAGTCCTGCCCTTTGCATCCGAAGGTAGGCTGCACAATTACCTTAACAATGTGCTCACTTTGTCAGTGGCCCCACGCTGCTAGCCAAATGATACGTCTTGGGGCTTTTCGTCCCATCCCCACTTCTGTAAGCCCAGGAAAGAAACAAAGCAGCCATACCGAAAATCCATTTGCTCATCCAGTGCTAGGAAAGAAAATAGCAAAAAAGCAAAGCCCAGGGTGCCGGAATCTGCAATCTGTACACCAGGAGTGATGCTATTCAAGGTATCCAGCTTCCTCCACATGAGTGCTGATTGCAGCCGCTTTCATTCAACAACTCTGCTGGGGATTTAAAGGGCTGTGTATCCTTGGCCAAGGAGCAGAGTCTGTAGCCAATTTTGCAAGCTAGAACAGATGTCAATACAAGGAATCAGTGGGGGAGCCCCTCTCCTGCCCCTCGCGTATTCCCTGTATTTCACCAAGGGGAAAATTTTTCAGGATTCTCCCACAGCTCAGCATTCTCACCTTGAGGACACAGGCAAAAACATAACAGCCGGAATCCTGTTGGTGTCTACCATGTCTTACGCATCAGTTAAGTTCCCCTACGGAAGTATCTGGACAGTTTTGTCCAATACAGAAACAGTCACACTCAGTTCAAGGCTGTGGAAGGAGAGTTGTGCATATGCTGCTGTTGTACATTGATGCATACATGCATTCCTTATGGGGTGCACATACACATTGCACATGCAGGTACACAATGCACCACATTCAAGGTGCTGGTCATGACCTATAAAGCCCTATATGGCCTAGGTCCATAAAATCATAGAATCAGAGTTGGAAGAAACCTCAAGGTCTCCAGTTCAGTCCAACTTGCTTTGGCCATGCAGGAAGACACAATCAAAGCACCCCCTGTGACAGATGGCCATCCAGCCTCTGTTTAAAAACCTTGAAAGAAGGAGACTCCAGAGTTCTTCGAGGGAGCGTCTTCCATTGTCGAACAGCTCTTACTGTCAGGAAGTTCTTCCTAATGTTGAGCTGGAATCTCTTCTCCTGTAGTTTGAAGCCAATGTTCCAGGTCTTCTCTGGAGCAGCAGAAAACAAGCTTGCTCCATCCTCAATATGACACCCCTTCAAATATTTAAACATGGCTATCATATCACCTCTTAACCTTCTCTTTTCCAGGCTAAACATACCTAGTAGCTCCCTAAGTCTCTCCTCATAGGGATTCATGGTTTCCAGACCTTCCACCATTTTGGTCACCTTCCTCTGGACATTCTCAAGCTTATGAACATCCTTTTTGACTATCCAGACTATCTGAAAGACTTTAACTGCCTATATCAATTTGCAAGAGTCTTAAGATCTACAGAGGAAGGCTTTCTAGCTTTTGCCAGCAGGGAAAGATGTTTTTATCAAGCAGGCTTCTAACATATATGAAGTCGTAGGCTTTCATGGCCGGCATCCATAGGTTTTTTGTGTTTTTTTTTCGGGATGTGTGGCCAAACTCTTCTAGAACATGGCCACACAGCCCGAAAAAAACCCACAAAAATTCTAACATATAATTGTTGTTGGGCGGCTTTTATACAGGGTGTGTGCTCTTTTTCTGTTTTTAACTTTAGTCTGTTTTATGTGATTTTATATGGTTTTAGCAAGCAGGCTTTAATTGTCTTAACATTTTTATTGTAAAGATTTTTTTAAAACTGTGAATCGCTTTGGGTCCCTTTCCAGGGGAAAGGTGGCATATAAGACAAATAAAAATATATATTTGGCTTCACAATATTGCCATTTACTATGGAGATGGTGTTGCACAGCCACTATGTAATTCAATTAGCGTAAAGTTAATAGACCATTGCTTTAGTGTTGGATCTTGGCTAAGGCATGTGTGACAGATACCGTAGGTTAGTAAAAAATTGAGGACTAGCAACTTGTAGGTCTATTTCACTTTTCCTTGTAATGTGTCAAGGTTTTTAAAGTGGAGTGGCTGTAAAGGATTACTGAGGAAGACATTTAAAGCACTTTAAAACCTGAATGCAGTATATAAACACTAGAGCAAAACATCACCGACTGTGAGAGCTCCAGAGCTACATGAAGTCTCCCATGGGAGAAGAATACATTGGGGAGGAGGGAGGCTGGATTTCCACAAAGGCAAGAAGTTAAAACAACTGACTGAGAAGTGACTGCTTGATGGCTGCTTAAATTCATGACAATATGGCAAGCTGCCTGCAGCGGCCATTTGGGCCTGCTTGCAAGCCATTAGCTGCAAAACTGCTCATCATCACGCAATAAAAAGCCAGCTATATGCAATGAGAAAACTAATGCAGTGTCGCTATAAAGCCTCTCTGTATTAATGGCTATCTTTTGGAAACAATTCTCCCACAAATGCAATCAGACTAGCCACATCGTGCACATTTCACTTTGACAGCAGATTCTCAAATGTCAGATGTGGCATGCCTTCTCCTCAACCGGTTCGTGTTTCCTGCAATATCTCCAATGCCGTCAGACCCTTGCTTTTGACCAAAAGCACCCCATGGGGAGGGGGGGAGATGGGATTACAACAGCGGACAATAATGTGCAGTTTTGGTAGTCCCCAGGATTCCCCAGGGGTTGAATAATTAAGTATATGAAATATTCAGAGAGGATTTTGATTCAGACAGGATTTTGATTTCAGACGGACAGGGTTGGTAGTTGACACTGACAGGGTGTTGATCTGACACAGACGGAGTTTTTAAAATTATAATGGTTATTTAATAATAATAATAATAATAATAATAATAATATCCCACCTTCCTCCCAATACAGGGACTCAAACAAAATTTAAGAACAACATTAAAAAGAAATCATACCACATATGTAACACATACAAATCACATACTGACTCTACAGACTAACATGCTATATCTTTGAAATCATACACATATTCAATATACAACTTATACAAATGTTAACACTAGACAAATCATCCATACCCCATCCATTACTTCCTTACTTGCAGTTTTTAATAGGTTTTGTCTGAACTTATTCTTTTAAGAGGCTATCTCGTAGTGAAAATATGTTCTCCTTCCTTTCCTTTTTAAACTATAAGTATCACCAATATATACATTTTCCACTGTTTTCTCTTCCAAAATAGAGTTTTGAGCTAACATAGAGTTTTGTATTTCAACAAGAAGAGCAAACTGCCCATGATATTGGGGAGCCGAAAGAATGGAGTATCAGAGTTTATTGTATTCTCATACTATACTAGGTTTAACAAATCTATTTCTGCTACTGCTTTAAACTTGTCTCTGTCTGTCTGCCAAGTCTGACTTGGAGTCAGGCCACATATACCAAAGCTAAAGAACCCCACACATCAACACAACCACAATTCCAAGAGTCAACCAGACGTCCAGTAATCCAATCCAGAAAGGAAATAATTTGGAGAACAAGGACAGGGTGAGTGGCAGAATTCCTAGGAGCTGGGAATTTGGGGGCCAATCTGGAGGAAAAAGAGATTTGTCACATATATTTGGCTTTCAAAAATATTGCTCTAGAATGCCCCCAAATGCATTCTAGGGGTTGTGGAGGGCACTTCCACCATGTCTGGAAGCCCCATGACCCCCCCGGGTTCAAAAACAATTTTTGCAATTTTCAACCCCCCCCCCCAAAAAAAAAGACGGGTTTATCCTGACATGCCCCAAAATGTCCACTATGAGGCAAGGGGTGCATTTCCACCACATTTTATGACCTCCCAGAGCCAACGTAGGCCTTTTTCAAAGCAAGAAGTGAAAAGGAAACGACACCTACATATGTCTTGATGTTTAAAAGGCCTTCCCTGGACCTAAAATGACCAAAGACAGCCAGCCCTAAAGCACAGTGAAAATGCCCCCATATCCCCTAGAGGGCACCTGGGGTCAAAACATTGTATTTACTGATTTTGCAGGAGCAAGTATAGTGGAGAGGTGTAGCCCTGCAATGCTTCCTGGGCAACTAATGCATTTTTAATGCTCGGTTCTACATTTCTCAGATGTTTGGCAAGCCTCCCCATCCACCCTACCCGAAATGTTTTGCCCAAATGCTAATATTAAACCCAAGGAACAGAGTGAACAAAAGTAAAAACAGAGTAGTCTTAAGCAAGCTGCTCAACCATATAGTAACACACACTGGAAATTAGCAATTACACACTCTCGTAATCCTTGGTA